TTTTTTTATTTTCTCCCAATATTTTTCAGTCATTGCAAATAGAGATTGTCAGCACTATTTTCATCATGCATTTAGAGAGTGCTTATTAGGTGCCAGACTCTGCTCCAGACACTTCAGTACTTTATTCACTAATTATTACCACACCCTGTGAGGTAACTTTATTCCCATTTTACAGGTGGAGAAGCAGAGGTTGAGCCCAAGCTAACACAGCTGCCAAGGCCAGGCCCAGTCTGTTCAGTTTCAAAGCCCCATAAGCCTCAGTACCCTTTAGTTTATGAAAATGTGAATTATAGCAGGGTGTTTAAAAAAGTCGTCCTTGAAAATTTCTCATTTGAAGTTCTCCAAATTTGGATAAAAACACAAGGGCAGTACAATGAAAAACTTGTCTCATAGTTGTAAATTAAAGTGACTCTCCAGTTAGGCTCCATCCTTTCTTATGTGCCTTTTATTACTTGAATAACTTATTTCTCTAAAACATTCACCATAAATATATATATTCAAAGGACTAAAGAAAGCCATCGGCCCAAATAAATCTTTTGCAACTGTGTGTGGACAATTTAGATATGATTCTGCGATTGCAACCGTAGTTCGAACTTAAATGTCCATTTTATTACAGCTCTTCTAAATAAAGTAAATCATATCCATGTACAACCTCATCCTCATAAAGTTTAATTTTTATGTATTAGTAAGTAATCAAAGTTAAACTTTCTAGTTCATTTGATTGAAATTGTCATCATCATAAGAGTTGGCAGTTCTTTGCTTACATCCCAATATGTAATGTCTAATATACCACCTCTGGCATTATCACCTTACAGGCACAGTATTCTCTGGAGGGCAGTCTCAGATATCTCGTCTTCTCTAGGGCAAAAGGGACTCCAGAGGGATATATTTCAGCACAGAATTTCTCCTAATATGACTGTGTTCTCAACAGCCTCCTAAGGGACAGTTAATACAAACATTTCTTTAAGAATTGTTTTTTCTCTAGACAACAGTAGAAAGATATTTGTAAGTAAAATTTCCTTTTGCATTATTTTACTTTAATTATATTAGTTATCACTGTACTTGTTGAATTATTTTATTAATTGTATTAGTTAATTATTGTTGCTATAACAAATTACCACAAACTTAGTGGCTTAAAACAAAATAAATATATTCTCTTGTAGTTCTGAAGGGCAGAAGTCTGCACTGAGTTTCACTGGGCTAACCCAGGGGTTGCCAGGGCCGTGTTCCTAAGAGACTCTAGAGGAGAATTCCTTCTCTTGCCTTTTCAGCTTCTGAAGTTTTCCTGCATCCTTGGTTCGCAGCCCCTTCCTCCACCTTCGAAGTGCCAGGCAGCACCTTCGGATCTCTCCCTGGCTCTGCCCTGTTGCCTCTTTTATTAATAAGGATCCTTGTTACTACATTGGGCCTAGCAAGAAATTCAGGATAATCTTCTGAACTAATTAACTTTAATTTAATCACTTCTTCAAAACTCCTTTTGTCATGTAAGGTACAATGTCCTCAGGTTCCAGGGATTCATATGTGTATCTTGGCTGGGGAGAGAGGAAGGCGTTATTCTACATACCATGGTGATACAGGGAAGTTTCGCAAGAGAAGAGGGTAATATTATTTACTGGCTTGGTAATATTTTCTAGATATAGGATATTTTAGAACTTAAAGAGTTTATTTTACTAAATTATTGGCAAATGCTCATCACATTTATAGGTCTAAAAATAAACATGATATGATAATCTCACAATTGATACAAGTTTCTAATCATTATATTGTACACTTGAAACTAATATTATATATGTCAATTATATCTGTTTTAAAGTATGATTATGTCAATAGATGCCCAACACATATTTGAGACTGTATTTCATAGCATCTATTTTTTTTAGAATTGTGGTAAAAAAAAAAAAAAAACATTATAAAGTTTATTATCTTAACCACTTCTAAGTGTACAGTTTAGCAGTGCTGAGTATATTCACATTGTATGCAACCTAGCATCCTTTTTTTTTTTTTTTACTAACTCTATACACTAGAATGGAAATATATTTTCTTGACATATAAATAATATTTATATAAAACCAGTATTTGCTATCTTAATGTAAGGTAATATTACTTAATGTAGGAATACTACAGATATCCCCACTAAAGCATGAAAAGAACAGGAGTCATTTTTAAATTTCTCACTAATGAATAAGATAAAAAAAAATAAATTAGAGTTATAGATATCAGAAATTATCAAGTATAGATATATAAAAATTCAAGGAAATTAACTGAAATTAGAACTAATAAGATAATTCAGTTAAATACCTGTTTACCAAATAAAATATTAAAGTAATTTACTCTTTTAAATATGAGCAATAGTCATTTAGAATATATAATCTACAATAATAAAAGAGTAAATGCTAATTAGACCAGGCATCATTCTGGATGAAACCGGGGCCAGAGAGAAGCGTAGGTCCCGGGTACCAGAGGGAAGCTGGTGCTGGCAGCCAGGGAAAGGAAGGCCTACTCTGGAACAAATTTCATGCATCAGGCCTCTATTGGAAAATAAAGAGCCAGAAAATAAAAAAAAGAAAGCCAGGAAACATGAGACTGAGCTCACTCAATAGCCCCCTTTCCACTGTAAACATAACAAAACATTGAGTAGTTAATAACAAAGAATTTAGTCAATTAGCCAGATATTCATCACATTTTCAATGTATATATCCATTGACTTGGCTATTCTTCTTTATACACTGAGTGGCCAGATTATTATGCATTCAGAGATCATAATAATCTGGCCACAATATAAATCAGATTATTATGATCTCTGAATGCATAATAATCTGGCTACTTAGTATATATCTTGTATAATAAAAGGCTAATATGCAAATTGTATAGCCCCCACAAGATAGCCAACAGGGGAGAGCAGTTGGGGCAATCAGGCCTGCAGAGGAGGGCAGTTTGAGGGGACCTAGGCCTGCAAGGGAGAGCAGTTGAGGGTAGCCAAGTCTGCAGGGGAAGGTAGTTGGGAGGGACCAGGCTGGCAGGGGAGGGCAGTTAGGGGTGACTAGGTCGGCAGGGGAGGGCAGTTAGGGGCAATTGATAGGGCAGTTTGGGGGAACCCAGGCCTGCAGGATGGGCAGTTGTGGGCGAAACCATACCAGCAGGGGGGCGGGGGAGGGCAGTTAGGGGCAATGAGACTGTCAGGGGAAGGCAGTTATGGGTGACCAGGTCAGAGGGGAGAGCAATTGGGGGAGACCAGGTCTGCAGGGGAGGGCAGTTAGGGGAAATTGGGCTGGCAGGGGAGCAGTTAGACATTAATCAGGCTGGCAGACAGAAGCAGTTAGGGACAATCAGGAAGGCAGGCAGGTGAGTTGTCGGGAGCCAGCAATCCTGGATTGTGAGAGGGATCCCAGATTGGAGAGGATGCAGGCTGGGCTGAGGGACACTTCCCCCATTTATACATACACACACACACATACACACACACACACACACACACACACACACACACACACACACACACACTGAGTGGCCAGCCTGGTCGCTCCTAACTGCCCCCCTCACTTCACCCTGCTATTCAGTCGTTTGGTCGTCCCTCACTAACTCTGTCTGCCTGGTCATAGGCAGCCATCTTGTGAGTGTTTGATGATCAATTTGAATATTACCTCTTTATTATATAGGATAAGGAAGTTCACTGTGATATTGTTTATAATGTGGGGAAAGTGGAGATAATTAAATGTTCAATAAAAAAGATAGGTTCATCCATACAGTGGAATATTCTGCACATTAAAAATATGGGTAGGAAATATTTATTTTATATTATTGAGAGAAAATAGATTATAGAACTATATCATAATCCTATTTTTGAAAATTTTGTGTGTATAAAAAGAGTCTGAAAGAATATTCATAAAATATTAATGCATGGATTATTACTGCCTTTCCTATTTTGATTATCTGTATTTCTTATTTTTATCATAAACACATATTGCTTGTGTAGTATTTTAAAATATAGTAAAATTATAGGGGTTAAGGGAGGCTGGGGGAAGGTCAATGGGGAAAAAAGGAGATATATGTACTACTGTATGTAATACTTTAAAAAATAAAATAAAACAAAAATATAATAAAATTAATCAGTGGCAATGGTTGATACACATTTCACCCTTAGGCCTGACTGCTGCACAGTCTTCATATTTTTCATTTTTCTAACGCTGACCCCTTTCTTGTGTCTTGGGCCCATATTTTCCCTGTTTACTCACTCCTGCTCTAGTCCAGCCCTGACTCTGTGTCCCTGTTCTGTGAACTGGCCTTGCCTTTTCCAGTCATTTACAACTTCTTTTCTTAGTAACATCTTTTGATCCCCGGGTCTTCTAATACCAAGACCCAGATTTCCTGTCACTAATTGCCTTCCTGAAGGTTAGCCCCTTTCCCCAAAATTCCAGGGTGGTGTCAGCAACCCAGTCCCCTCCCAATAGACATTCTTGATTCAGTATACTCTCACCTTCTACCTGCTTCTAACATGCATTGGCCTGTTTTTGTTTTGTTTTTTTGTTCTGCTGCACCTGCCATCCCTTCGAAATATCTTGAGTTGCCTTCCCTCCCACCCTGACATGCCCAGCCACCTGCTGCTGCATCCCAGCAATCCCCGTTTCCTGCACTTGCCACGCTGCTCTATGTTACTGCAGTTCCCTAGGTCCTCGTATATATCTCATGTTAAATTTTCCCCAGGTTTTTCTACTTACAGCTACAAAACACAATAAAAGAATCAACTGGTAGTCAGCAACTTTCATTTTTGGCTATTATTAAAGTTTAAGGGGCTATCAGTAAGAAGAAATCCATGGATGGAATATTGGCCATCATACTTGGCATTCTCAGTTACACTTACCGTGGACATACCAATAGAGGGCGCTCTTCCCATTGCTAAGCACGGTACTGCACTTGAAAGATTCTACCTCAATGCCTCCCAACGGGGAAATAGCAAGGAATAACAGTGCTTAATTGTTTGTTTTATCCATTGTTATGCCCAGGTTTTACTTTGTTTCTCCCGGGATACATCTGTGTTGAGTCACTTTGCGTACAACAGTGCTTCACCACCAAGATCATACATAAGAGGTAACATTTTAGTAACATAAAGGAAGTATTTTTAATGGTTTTATTTTAGTTTAATTTAGTTTTTGAGAGAGAGAGACATTGATCCATTGCCTCCCACATGCACCCCAACCAGGGGTCGAACCCGAAACTTCTTTATATGCCCTGACTGGAATCAAACCTGCCACCTTTCAGTGTGTGGGACGACACTCCAGTCAACTGAGCCACACTGGCCAGAGCAAGGAAATCTTTTTTAACACTTCCATTATCATAGCAAGACTATCTGCTCTCTCAATTGCTGTTTCTGTCTTAACCTTTTGACTTCAATTTTCCCTTTTATAAGTTTATCATATGAATTTGCTTTTCTAATTTTTTAAATGTTCTATATTTCTTCTCTCAAAATGTTCTACAACACTTACAATTTTGATATAATTTGTATGCCAATAATTCTTAGCGCTTTTTTTTTTCTCCTCTTTATCACTAGCTGTACAAGATAGCATCACTATTTCAAAATCCCGCATCACCTGACAACTGAACTCATTTCACCTGGAACCCTTTCCCAACTTCTCCTTTTTGTGAAGTGGTGAACACCCACCACTTAAAAGCTATTGTGTGGTCCCGCTGCTGATCCCATAAAGAAATGGTTTCTCCTGTATCTGCTGAGTCTGAGTATCTGCCTGATTCTCCAACCCCTGCCCCAGGACAAGCCCCATCCCATGCTGGGATAGGCTCCCCCACCCAAGTTAGGAACTCTCTCTGTTCCATTGCTCCTACCTGGAACTTACAGAGGCCTTTTGTTTGCTTGTTTCTTTAACATCACGTGCTAAAAGCCTGATTATACAACTTAGTTGTCTCATGGAATCACCTCTAAACTCAGCCAAGTTTTAAGGCCGTCCATCAGTTGCTCCTGTCTTCACCAAGCCAATGTTGCTTTTCTGATGACCCTACATGACCCCAAGTTCATTCTAGTCTTCGTATGCTCCCCATATTTGGAAGAATTTCCACTGTTCCTCCCCCAAAATCATATGTCCTTGAAGAACTAGCCCAGTGGTCGGCAAACTCATTAGTCAGCAGAGCCAAATATCAACAATACAATGATTAAAATTTCTTGTGAGAACCAAATTTTTTAAACTTAAACTTCTTCTAATGCCACTTTAAAATAGATTCATCCAGGCCATGGTATTTTGTAGAAGAGCCACACTCAAGGGGCCAAAGAGCCAATGTGGCTCGAGAGCTGCAATTTGCCAACCATGAAACTAGCCATTCCACCAAGCCATTAATCCATCATCAATTTGTCCGTCCTCTAAACCTTTATAATACTTAAAGACTATGCCAGAAAATTTAGCAAACATATCCTCAATGTTTCATGTTCCAGTCTGGATTATACGCCACATGACTGGGGGACTGGTCTTATACTTAATTTTGTTTGCCTCCTGACATCTAGCCCAGGTGCTCTGTTCTGTCTGTCTGTCTGCCTATCCATCTATCTATCTATCTATCTATCTATCTATCTATCTATCTATCTATCATCTATCTATCATCTAGCTATCTATCTATCTATCTATCTATCTATCTATCTATCATCTATCTACCTATCTACCTACCTACCTATCATCTATTTTTCCTTATTCCGTTCTCTCCTTACACACACATCAGTCCTGTTATCTCCACCTTAGCTTATGGTTCTTATTCTTCATTTCCTCTTTGCTACCATCCCAACAAGAACAAAAATTATTTTAAATTTAATTAAAAATATTACCTTAAAGCTTAGAGCAAGATTGCATGTGACTTTTCCATAGACTCAATGTGTTAGAAAAACTATCAATATAAACTTAAAAACTTCCTAAAGATATTCAGGAATCTTAAAAGTTTTGAGGAAAAGCTATTTTAAAAGACTTTTTTAATCATTTGAATATGATGAGTATACTTTAATTTTTTGAGACAATTTTGATTTCAAATACTTAGCCTTATTCTTAGAACATATGAACTGTTTTGGGATTCATAAAGTATTACCACCATATAGTTAAAGATGTTTAATTTTTAACTTTTCAACACGTTCTGTAAAAATGTAAACTAATGAGGCGTTGCAAAGCTTAGGGCTTGCTTTAATGAATAGATTAGAGTTGTTTCTAGTTAGCAAAAACAATTCTGAGCTTAAGAAGCTTGAAAGCATTTGTTCTTTTAATTATTTTATGGCTTGCCTTGTACTTAAGTTTATACTGTTGATTTCAATTGATGAAAGGATTTGTTAATATCAATGTTGACTGGCATATTTTCAAATTAATTCCTTATCATAAAATGCAATGAAATGAGATTTTTACAATTGTAGTTTTATTTTTTAATAAAAATACATTTCATAGTTGAAAGTAAAACATATGTCCCTCTTTTTTCCCCATTGACCCCTACTGGCCCACCCCTACTCCTCACCCCACTCCTCCACCATCCTATTGTCAGTGTTACTATTGTAGTTTTTTAAAATTCCACTAATTATTAGTGCAGTCACAAAGTGAGTTAATTTTTTGTTTTGCTTATTTAATCAGACTGAAACCCTCTATGGCTTTCTCTTCTAGGAAAACTAGGAATAGAAGAATATGCTGTCTTTTACCCACCAAATGGTAAGAGTAATGCTATTGCTTCCTCTAGTGGGAAATAGGAAGATTACAACTTTTATAATAGGAATGACTTTCTTATTCTCTACCTTTAAATAGATAATTAACATCTAAAGTATACTATCTACAGGATACCGCTTTGAATGAGCTTTTCCATGTTTGTAGCAGGTTTGCATGCACTATGATATCCTTTCTGGTCTTCCTTGAGACCAGTGGTAGTATTTGTGGGAAAACTCAGTAGACAGGTGTCTAAGCCCGGGGCCCTTAGGTTTTCTCTGAAGAACGTGACTAGTCCACCAGGAGCTCCCTTTTTTTTTTTTTTTTTTTTTTTTTTTTACTGGAGGAGGGCTCTAATGAGAAGTTGCCTTGTATTGCACTTTATTATCATCACAATTAAAATATATATATATTTTATTGATATTTTTACATAGAGGAAAGGAGAGTAATGGAGGGTTAGAAACATTGATCAGCTGCCTCCCGCACACCTCCCACTGGGGATGTACCTACTACTAAGGTATATGCCCATGACTGGAATCGAACCCGGGACCCTCCAGTCTGCAGGCAAACTCTCTGTCCACCAAGACAAACTGATTAGGGCATGTCCTCACAATTTGATAAGTATAGTGTTTTTGAAATAAAAAGATTATGAAGAAAGACATCACTGAAATAATCTATTTTCATTATACAAAGTGATCAAATGTATAATGACCTCACTACGTATTAAACGTTTACTTGAGATGATTAAATAGGTTTTAAGTTATGCTTCTTGAAAAGCAATATATAGCTGTCCTCATTAAGCTGCATCTTGATGGTCTTGTGCTCCAAGTTAATATTAAGCTGCATCTTGAAGGTCTTGTGCTCCAAGTTAAGAACATGGGATTGTAATCCATCTGATCTGGGTTCAGATCCCAGTTCTGCCAGCTCACCCTATGACCTTGGGTAAGTGACATGACTTCGCTGAACTTCAGATTCGTCATGTAGAGCGTATGGATACTAGATGGTACAAGGTATAACACAGCACAGTGCCTCATGCGTATGGAGTGAGTCCTCAGAAAATGCAGCTGTTGCCAGCGTGTTTAGCTTCTTTATTGACCACTCCATTACAACTCATTGTCCTCTGCATCTTCCGTGTGTGTCCCAGGTCCGGTTGGCCACCCTCCTGTACCCCCTTCAGCACTGGTGTTCTCTGGGCCCACCCCACCTGGTTCTGCTGCCCTCCTTTTCACTCAGTTTCAGGGCCTTCTTATCTGCTCTCTTGGCTCTCTTTGTTTTTCATTTGTATCTTCAGTTCTGACCTCCACAGTAACTAACCCAAACTAAACATGACTGAACCTGAACTCATTATTTTATCTTCCTATGCCCACTATTCAAAAGAGAAAAACAAAATTAAAATTTAAAGCAAAACAAAGAATGGCTGTTTCTCTCTGTTAATTGTTCTCGTCTAACCACTAATTCAAGCCCAAAGCCTGGCAGTAGTCCTCTCAGTCTTGGACCCCTCATCTGATAATTCACCTGAATCATCCACTTTTATCTTCAAAATCTACGTGGGACCCCTCACTTCCTCCCTACACTGCTGTTTGTTCTCCTCGGGGCTTTCCTGTCTCTGTTGCTCATTAATTGCTACAGACACCCCATTGGCCTCTCTTCTCCCAGCCTTTGCTAACTGTTCTGGCTTTCACAATGCTTTCCTTTTACACATCTAGAAGGAAAAGGGCTGTTTTTTTCTTAAAGGTTCCTCAAAGGCCCCTTATCTCTTCATAAATAAATGTCCAAGCCTCTTGGCATGGCACATGAGGACATTTTCTTATCAATATCAAACTTTTAATCACACACACACACACACACACACACACACACACACGCACACACACACACTCCTGCTCTTACAAAAGCACCACGCTGCTTCCTACCTGGTTACTGCCTCAGTTCCCAGGCTTGGAATAGTCCCTTCAACCTCTGCTCAGCAGGCTGCCAAGTGTCAGCTCAGCACCTCCTCCTCTGGAAGCTGCCCTGCACTCAGGGTCGCCAAGGGCCTTCTTTGTGCACCCATAGCGCCCTGTGTAAAAAGCCTGGGTAACTCTTATTGTGTTAGCTTGACAGTGTTTGTTTATGCTTTATCTCCCCTCTGGATTGCAAGTTTCTTGGACTGACTCACTAATTAGTTCAAATAAATGATCATTAAACTCTTATTAGAGCTAGATACTGGGGAAATGAATGATATATATATCCCAGTTCTGCCAGCTCATTCATTTTCATTTCCCTAGTATATCATCCATTTTTGTTTCCCTCATATCTAGCTCTAATAAGAGTTTAATGATAATTTATTTGGATTAATTAGAGGCTTTTTAATCTTAATATGTATATAGAACCATAGTTATATCTATGTCACCAGACACTTAATTTTCATATAATTTTTTATATTTGTCTAAATCAGGAGATAAAATACCTCTGAAAAGCCAAAAGAGATGTCTATGGAGTGAGGTTACGTCTGTTTATCAGAGAGCTTTGCCAACCTAGTTTAGAGCACTTACTAACACACAGGTCTGACAAACCTGGCTTACTGTTTTTATGCCCCCTTGTAAAAATGGAAGCATGGAAAGAGGCTGATAGAGATGGAAGAAATGACTGACAATAGTAGAAGTGAAAAACCAGAGACCTTACAAAGGAAAATAGGAAACTATAAGATAGCATGTTAGAACATTGCAGTGAGTCAGTCCAGGACTGTTTTATTATATGTGAGAGCCAGTAACTCTGTGCCTTTAAAAAGATATCTCTGGGTTGTAGCATAGTATAGTAAGTTAAGACATTTATAATGAGCACAAGGGACCCAGAAAAAAAATATTGATATAATAGCAGTAATAGTAGTTGCTGCAGCAGTAGCTAACATTTTCCAAGCAATACTACACACCATGCAGAGTGCTAAGTCCATTACATGTATTAATTCATTTAATCCTTACAAGAACCATCTGAGGCCGGTGCTAATGTTTTCTGTTATCCCTATTTATAGATAAAGAAGCTGAGGCACAGAGTGTTAACTCGCCCAGCTGGCGAGGGGTAGTGCCAAGCTCTGAACCCAAGCTCTTTGACAGCATTCTTAATCACCATCCCTATTGCCTCAGAAAGCATCACTGGGTTTGTTATGGCATCTTTTAGAAGAAAAAAAAATGGTTAACATATTTAAAAAGTAAAATGTGTATATACTAGGTTCTAGAAAGACTTTCATGCGGAATAAAAATAGTTTAATGCTTAATGGGGTAGCCCCACAGCTGTTCCCATACCAATTCTTCAGGATTTTTCTTCTCTTGGGTGGTTTTAGAACCTTCCCAGACTCAGGGAGGACTCTTCTCTGGACAGTGAGTCTACAGTGGCCAAAAAAGAAGAGGCAAAGACAAGTTGGTCTGGTATCCCTTTAGTTTTTACTCAAGATGATAATCAGCAATGTTGTTATATTACCCAACATTTCTCAACCTCTGTCAAAGACAGGAGTACTTTGAAATCTCAAGGACACTTCTACCACCACCACCACCACCAAAACTGGCCTTGCTCTCCTGGTCTCAGTGGCCCACACATAAGGGTGTGCCTGCAGCTCACAGACACTCCATCCCTGGCCAGGCAGGTGCTCAAAGAGGGTGGAGATTTGCTCACCCAGTTACCTGTGACCCCCTTTCCCATGTGGACATGACAGGCCACAGTGGTGTCAGATGTCACCTCTTCACCTCATGGGAGGCCTTGTCAATGGGCAGGTTTCTGTGGAGCTGCAGGTTCATTAAACAGCTGGGGAGCAAAATTTCTGAGCTGAGGGAGATGTCGCACAGGAATTTTATACACTTTTCTTATTTCTATTCTTTGTTCAACACATATAACTTGTCTGTATTTTTTCATTTAATAAGTATGCACTGCTCTGTCCTTCTTCTAGGTGAGTGGCCCACAGTAAAAGTGTCTGCTGCTAAGGAGCTTACATTCTAATGAGGGAGACACAGTAAACAAGTAAATAAATAGCTCATGAAAATAATGTCAGGGAACCAGGGACAAAAAAAGGGAAAGCAGTTGATTATAGGTAGGGAGTGGGGCGGAGGGGGGGAGGCAATGGGTATTTTAGGGAAGGCTGTCAGGAAAGGAGCCTCCTGACACTCTAATGTCAGCTCCAAGAGGACAAGGACCGGAATAATTCTGGTGCCCAGCCAGGTATCCAGCGCCTGGAGCCATGCGTGGCAGGGGGTTGCTGGTCAATCACCATTCGCACATGAATGAGGGAACGAAGGTAGAAGAATATGGAGGAGCAGGAACAGAAGCAAGAAGGCAAGACTTACACGTAGTGCTGGCTGAGACCGAAGCAAACTTCCCAATCTGCTGTGCCATTTGTTTCTGTAAGACAGAGAAGGTCATTCATTGCCAGGGAACATTAAGTAGAGGAGTTTTAAGACCCTGGAACAGTGGGCAATTCAGCCAAGGGCAATTCTACCCCCACTTTCCAACCCTCTGAGAATGTTTAGCAATGTCTGAAGATGCTTCTTATTATCACAACCAGGGGGAAGAAGGTACCACCAGTATCTCGTGATGCTGCTAAATGTCCTACAGTGCACAGGACAGCTAATAAATCATGAAAATAGGTCATTTTAAATCTGCTTGCAAGTGTCCAGTTGATAAATAGCAATGCACTTTGTCATCTATATTAATTAAATAAATTCAAAACATCTAAAATTAATTTGATGTGAAACTTTAGACATTAAGTTGTAAACCTGATTAAAATGTTATATCAAGTATGACTTGTAAATTGATATTTAAATACAGATATGTTCTAATGTTTGGGGAAATTTTAAGTACTAAAAGTAACAAAGTCATGTTCTGAAGCTTGAATTCAGGAAGATCATGGGAATACTTAGAACACAATTTATCCATTGTCCTAATCCCTAGTCTTCCTGACCAGTAGGTTCATGTGGAATGAGGATAAACAGAGGAAATGATTATTTCAACAAATGAATTAAATAAACTGTATTATGTAATCC